CAGCCCTGGGATGGGTTCCTGTGGGACAGGGACAGGGAACAGCCCTGGGATGGGTTCCTGTGGGACAGGGACAGGGAACAGCCCTGGGATGGGTTCCTGTGGGACAGGGACAGGGATAGGGGCAGGGGGCACCCCTGGGGAGGTGAGGGCTTTGGGATGGGTTCCTGTGGGACAGGGAACAGCCCTGGGGAGGTGAGAGCTTTGGGATGTGTTCCTGTGGGACAGGGACAGGGATAGGGACAGGGGGCACCCCTGGGGAGGTGAGAGCCCTGGGATGGGTTCCTGTGGGACAGGGAACAGCCCTGGGGAGGTGAGAGCTCCCCCATGGAGCAGGGACAGGGACAGGGAGCATCCCTGGGGAGGTGAGAGCCTTGGGATGTGTCCCCATGGAGCAGGGATAGGGAACACCCCTGGAATGTGTCCCCTTGGAACAGGGAACAGCCCTGGGGAGGTGAGAGCTCTGGGATGTGTCCCCATGGCAAAAAAATTCCCATTTATGGAGGCAGAATCCCATTTATGGGGGGCAGATTAAAAATTTCCATTTATCGGGGGCAAATAAAAAATTCCCATTTATAGGGGGCAGATTAAAAATTCCCACTTATTGGGGGCAAATAAAAAAATTCCCATTTATGGGGCCTAAAAGGTTTCATGGACATGGGCAGAAAGTGCCACTTTGTGGGACAGAATTCCCATTTAGGCCAGAATTCCCATTGATGAGGACAAAGAAAATTCCCACTTGCAGGGACAGAAAATCCTGTGAATGGGATCAAAAAGGGAGGAAAACCCGCCATTTTTGGGGGACAGAATTGCCATTTATAAGGGCCAAAAAAAACCCCCAAAACTCCCATTTAGGAGATGAAAAAAATTCCATTTATGGGGAAAAAAATTCCATTTATGGGGCAAAAAAATTCCGTTTGTGGGGGGCAAAAAAATTCCGTTCATGGGGGACAAAAAATTCCCATATTTGTGGGAGGGGGAGGGAAAAAAAAATTCCCTTTGTTAGGGACAAAAATAACCCCATTGCTGGGGACAGACAAACCCATGGGCTCGTGGCTGGTTCTGGGGAGGAATTTGGGATCTCCGAGGCCGGAGCGGGGCCGATCCTGACGGAATTCCCTCTTTTCTTTCCCCCTTTTCCAGGGCGTTGTCCCGGCTGGCAGCAGGTGAGTGGGGCCCAGCCCTTTGCTGGGTGAGCTGGGAGGGACATTCCCAGGGAAAATTCCTGGGATTTGGGGGGTTTTTGTTCCCTGAATCCCGTTGTCTCCTCAGCCTGGAGAGCTGGATGTTCCTGAAACCCGAGCCCGGGTTCTCCGAGCTGGAAAAGAAGCTCAAGAGCTTCTCCCAGAAGAGTGCAGTGCTCAAGGAGGTGCTGCTGGAATTCAAGGGTGAGCCTGGGGGGGGAAAAAAAAAAAGGGGGAATTCCAGGGGAAAAAATCCCACCTGGAATTCCAACAGAGCCAGGGCCGGGCTGGGATCGGGATCGTCCTTCACCCCCGGGAGAGCTCCAAGGGTTGGATCATCCCAGGGGGGTTTCCCTGGGAAAGGAGGGATCTCCC